GGGCTGTCTCAGGACGGGCAGCCTGCACCGTGGCCAGGACCTCAGTCATACCCTGTGAGAGGGGCCGACAACATACTCTGTAACCTCCAATAACATGCCGGGGCACCTCGCAGGGCACAGTCCTTGGGGACCCCGTCCCTCCATCCCCAGCCCAGCCTGGCCTCGATTTCTCTGTGACATCTCATGTAAGCAAGCACTTTGCTTCTCGGAGCTCAGTCACCCCATCTTGTAAACGGGCACGAGGGTTGGGGCCTCCCCGGCATCTGGCAGACTTGGGCAGCTGACGCTCAGAGCCTCTGGGACAGTGGCAGAATGGCTCCTCCTACCGCATGTCCCATGGGCAGGCAGCCCCATGCAGCATCAGGGCGCAGACCTGCAGCTCCCCAGCTGCTCCGTCCCTGCCCTGGTCCACGCATCAGGCCTGGTCAGTGCCCGAAGCAGAGGAGGGAAAGGAGGCACACTAGTGCCCACCCCAGCCTCCTCCCAGGGCCACCAGCCCTACAGGATGTCTGTCCCCTCCAAAGCCTCATGGGTACACAGCTGGTCTTTTAGAAGAGCACTGCGTGACAGGGTGTCGCGCTCACCCCTGGATTAGTCCTCTGATGGGTTCAGAGCTGAATGCAAAGCAGGCAGCGGAAGCCTGGTGGGGGGAGGTGGTCAGTGGGGCGTGGCCTGGAGGGTCTGTCCCCTCCTCCTCCCTTGATCCCTCTCTGCTTCCCGCCTGCCTGCCGTGGACTGTTTCTCCTCCACAACACCACCCTGCCTGGGACTCACCTCTACAAACTGTGAGCCAAAATAAACCTCTCCTCCTTTGATTTGTGGGTGTCAGGTCTTGCGCCCCAGCAACGAGACAGTCACTGACCTCCCTGAATCGGGAGGACCAGGGACCGCTGCTGCCATTTCCCAGAAGCTCCGTCCTCAGGGTGGCTTCCTCGGGGAGCAGTCCTGGGCCTCTGGCTCTGGAGACGGGTGCAGGGACCGGGCCTGGCCTGAGGTCCAGGCCTGCTGGGAGCACCTGGCTTCCAGGCCCAGAATCCAGCTCGGAGCCCCGACTCCCAGCAATGGGCCCAGAAGTCACTTCTCAAAGTTTAATGTCTCAGCAGGTTTAGATTTCTTCTTTCAAAATACCAGAAGTAATTAGACCAGATGGACCCGCGGCGTGCCAATTCCACTCCTCCCTTTTTTTTTTTTAAATCAAGGCCGTTTTCAGTTAAATGAGAACAAAAATGCATCCAAAAACCATAAATGAATACGGAATGTATACGGGATTTTTTTTTTTAACACTTAGGGTTTTGTAACAGTCGAGTTCTTCCTCTTCTCCTGCAGTTGGTTCTGGCCCCTTTCCCTAAGATGCTACCCACAAGGAAAGGCTTGGTGCTGAAGGTGCCCAGAGATCAGGGAGAGAAATGGCTTCCCTGAGTCCTGCAGGGTCGTGGCACGCTGCATCAGGCCTAGTTTGTGTGCAGCCGGGAGGAGAGGAAGACCCAGGGACAGCAGTCTGGGAGGAGGCAACAGACAGGAGTAGACACAGGAGAAACAGGCCTGCGTCAACCCAGTTCCTGCGTCGTGGCATCATCCACCAACATTCATTTATTCATTCGACAAATGTTTATTATGGTAAGCCAGGTACTGTACTAGGCACGGGAGTCAGGTCCAGAGAGATTAGGCCACCTAGGGAAGGCTCGGGTCCTCAGCCTTGTGGAGCTTCAAACATTCTAATGGGCAAACGAGGTATGAAAGAAATCAACTCTGAAAGTAATACAGTGCGGTCCTGCTGCTGCACAGATGGAAAGTGTGACAAAGGTGTGCACACCCACCCAGTGTAGACAAAGATGGCAGCGGAGCCTCCACAGAGGAGACAGCAGCCTTTCTCAGCAATACGACCGGCCACCTGACGCCCACGTGGAGGCGTCCTGAACGAGACCCCACCTCACGCCATCACACTGCCATTCATTCCGGGGGCCCCACACCTAAGCGTGGAAGGCAAATTGATACGGTTCTGGGAAACACAACAGGCTTCAGGAGAAGGAAGACTTCCTCAGCAGGACACGGAAAGCACGTCCCATGAAGAAAAGCAGCAAGACATTTGTGGCACCAAAATCAAGAACTTCTGCTTATCCAACAGCTCGGCTAAAAGAGGGAAAACGCAGCTCACAGCAGAGGGCAAAGTTTTTGGTAAACTTGCAGCTGACCAAGGGCTCCTATCACATTCGGAAGCCCTACAGAAGCTGAACCAAGAAGAACAAGATGCACACTCGAAATCATTTTTTTAAATGGTCAAAAGACGGCTTCACAAAAGAGGAAATCAGGTAGTCCGTAAATGCATAAAAAGACTCTCAGCCTCCCTGGTCGTCAGGGAAGGCACTTCGAACCTATAGAGACAACTACACACGCTCACCAGAATGAAATGGGGAAGCCCTCCAATACCAAGTGCTGGCGAAGATGCAGGGAAAGACCATGCAGGCAGGGAAAGGCCGACGTAAGTACTCTGAAAAACAGGTAGCAGCTCCACTGAGACTGAAGGGCTGCGTGGTCAAATACCTGGCGCCACACATTCATACCTGTGTGTACAAGTGCGTGTGTGACAACTAGGCATGTACATTTCTGTGTACTAGGACACATGTACAAGAGTGTTTACAGCAACAGCACTTTCAATAGCCAAGCCGATGGTACTTAGATTTGGGAGAAAGAACAAAGAAATGACTATAATCAACTCAATGAAATTCTATAAAGCAGTGGAAAAAACCCAACACAATATGAAAAAATCTTTAAAGATAATATAATCAATAAAATGAGGCCCCAACTGTCTAATAAGCCATAGTGCACTGTGTCCATCTTTATACAGTTCACGGAACAGGCAGCTGGAGGGTGATGTGGGAGGTCTTTGCGCCTTCCATTCAAGTTTTCGATGAACTTGAAGCTTTCTAAAGCATAAAATCCCATTAAATTAAGGAAGAAATAAGCAGAACTAAAAATTTCAGAACGAAAGGATGCCAGGTGAAAAACAGCGTGCCCAGTTACATTTGAATTTCAGATAAAGAATAAATTTTTGATGTAATTATGTCCCAAATGTTGCATGAGATACACTGTATTTTACAAACGATTCCCCCCAGGCCCGGTGGTACACCTGACAGCCTCAGGAGGCTGAGGCAAGAGGGTTGCGGTTTAGAAGCCAGCTGAGCAGCATAGAGCCTCCGCATCAAAAGAATAAATAAGTAAAATTAAAAATTAGAGATGCTGGGATGCACCTCTGGGGTTCAGCCCCCAAATCACACAGCCCAGAAAAGGGGAGGCCAAGATTTAGGCTCAAGCAGTTTGGTTACAGACCCACAAGCGGGGCGGCAGGAGGGCTGAACACCACTGGGCAGAGAGATCTGACCCAGAGCCACTGGCCTGGTCCTCCGAGCCTAGCCGGCACCTCTCCGCCTGCTGATAGCCCTCTTCCCCACCCCGCTCAAAGCTCTCGCCCTTCCCTGCGCACCTCTGGGTCTCCGCCCACGGGGGCCCCTCCTCCTGAGTTTCTGCCCAACCAGACCTCGGGCTGGGTTCCCGGCCCTGGCAGGCAGCCTCAGCTGCCTCCTCTGCCGTGCTGGTCTTTAGTACCAAGCTCACTGCACCCCAGGTGCCCCACGGGCCCTGTCCGGGTCCTCACAGGTTGGGGGGGGAACGACTCACTGAGACCCTGAGTACAGGAGAGGATGGCAGCCAGTTCTGGGGCCCCCGGGAAGCCTGCAGGCCCCAGGTGTCACCCTGTGGAATCTCCCAGGGCACCCCATGAGTGTCCGGGTACGCTGTGTGGAGCCTTCGCCCCCGGAGCCCCTCCAGCCATACTGGCCTGTGTGCCCCCCAAACACTCTCCTCTTCCCTGCTCACGAGCTCCCTTTTTGTTTTCCAGGCTCAAGTCAGAGCACGTCCTCTGGGGACCCCCATCACCCCACACCCTGAAGCGTACGTGGTCTCTCCCTCCTGTGTGTGCTGCCTGCCGTCCCCTGCCAGCACTGGACAGACACCCTGTGGCCTTTGCAGCTGGGACTCCAAGGACAACTGATGCGTCCACTTGGGGATGGTGTTGTGGCTTCTATCCGGATGTCCCCTGCAAGCCTCCTGCACTCAGACAGGGCTGTGGAAGGTGCTTACGGCCGACTTGGCCTTAGGCAGGTTTGCGTAGGGTCTGCTCGGAAGAGGCCGCTGCCGGGGTGTGACTGGAGAGTGCTCCTCCCTCCCAGCTCCTCCCTCCCTGCTCCTCCCTCTGTCTGCTTCCAGGCACCCTAAAATGAGCACCTTCTCCTCCACCAAGCCCCTGGCCACGCTGTTCCTTCCTTGGAGCAGCCAACGGTGGACTGAAGCCTGAGCCGACATGAACCTCTGCTCCTTTAAGTCGCAGGTGTGGTTTTAAGCAACTAGGAAGCGACTGTGACAAGTGGGACTAATAACTCAGTCCCCGTGGGCTGAGCGTGGGTTGGAGAAAGTGGCCTGGAACCTTTAGGCCAGGGCTCAGCTTACTGTGACTGCTCAGAAACGGCCGGCTGCCACCACTGGCCCCACCGTCACCACTGCCTCAGTCATCACTGTGATTCAGCCACCGTCACCACCTCTGCCATCACCATCACCATCCCCATCCCTATCCCCTTGGCCTTTGTCCTTGGCACCACCATCACCACCGTCACCAAGGCTCCTGTGGACACACTGACCACCCCCGGCCAGGTGGGCTGAAGCAGGGACCTGCCAGCTCCCCGCTGTCGGCCAGGTCCTGGCATCCCTGACAATTCCAACCGCATGAGCCCGTCAGGCTGAGCCGTCCCCACCCCACATATCTTTTCACGTAAGGTTAGAACACAGGCAGCAGAGAAGGACCCAGAGCTACAGGGTAGTGGCTCAAAGCATGAGCTCTGGAGCCAGCCTGCTTGCTTTAAGCCCAGCTCTGCTCCTTTCCGGCTGTGTGACCTTCGGCAAGGTCCTCACCCCCTCTGTGCCCGCCGGGAGGGGCTCCCCGCACTCACCATGGCGAGCCGTAGATCCGGAAGCCCCGCACGGTGACCTCGGAGTCCTGCAGGTAGATGCAGTTGGTCAGCAGGGACTGCACGTTCTCGTAGTTCTCGGGCTTCAGCTTGGACACGGACGGGAAATAGTAGAAGTCCTGCTTGATGAGGTCGGCCATGAACTCCTGGTCGAAGGTCAGCTCGTGGTTGCCGGCGATCACGATCTTGTACTCGTAGGGCAGGCTGCCTGTGGGGCGGACACGACAGACACAGCGCCCGTGGTCAGCCCTGCTGGGAGCCACAGGGCTGCAGAGCCAAGGCGGGCAGGGGTGGCTTGGGTCCAAGGAGGCAGAAACCAATCGCTGAGGACCCTGCTAACTTAGGAGAAACCCCAGAGCCCGTGTGTGGTCTAAGTGGAATCAAAACACACAGGGCTTCCTGGAGCCTCTCCGCTCTGCAGCGTGCACACCCTGGCCAGCTCCTGCGGGCTGCACTCCCCGCTCCCGGGGCCCACTCTGCAGACAAGCTGCCCTCAGCGGGAACGTGCATGGCCGGGATGATCTGGTCAGAACTGGGAGCTCCCAAGCCTCAGGCCACCGCAGCCCCAGACTCAGCACCCTGCTGCATGCCAGAGCCAGGGAGACCCCTGGACTCCCCAGCCTCTGCCCGTAGCTCCTGTGGGCTCGGAAAGAGCCGTGGGGGTCCCGAGGCCCCAGTGTGGATTAAAGTGAACTCAAAGTCCTCCTCCCCGCTCCTCCTTGGTAGAGAAGGCCCCCGTGAGGTGCAGGAAGGAGGCGTGGGAGGAGATGGCGTCCAGCCAAAGGCTACAAAATCTGATTTTTGACAGAGCAGTGCCAGGGATGCTAAACTTGACAGGTCCATGTGCTTCAGCAAGAGCAGGACTCCGTCCTGAGGTCATCAGCAGCTGTCAGCGACTACTGAAACCCATCCCGGGGCCTCCTGGAGCGCACAAATACAACCATGCCAGGCTCTCCTATCCTCCCATTATATGGAAGGGGAAACTGAGGCACACAGAGGGGAAGAGCCGTTGCTAACAGCCCCTGAGCTTCCAGGGAGCCACAGCTCACCCCGTATCCCTGTTCCTGTGTGGTTCTGAGCACCACAAAGTCACACGGAGGACACGGCCCTGGATTTGGAGTCAGCTGAGCTGAGTTCAAATCCTGGCTGTTTCTCTCAACCAGGAAGTCATCATTTAACTTCTGGGAACCCATTTCCCTGCCAACCAAGGTGGGTGTCCAGGGGCTGAGGACCCTTTCTGTAGCTTCATTGCAAGGCCGCTCCCTGCTCCCCTCCTCCTGGTCCTCACAGGGTGTCACAGTGCCCCTGTCTGTCCAGAGCGTCCAGAGCCCAAAAGCCTTCCCCACGCTCCACGGTGAAGTGAAAGTCTGTTTCTTTGGCTGTGGGTCCATCCGCCCAGGAGCCAAATTCCAGAAACAACTCAGCTCCCCGGCCAAGGATTGTCTGACCTCTGGGAAACTGATGAGACCGGACTGGGAGGACACAGGATGAGACTCCGCTGCTCCTGGGGCTCCAGGCAGAAGCCCTCTGCCCAGCCTTTAGGGCGCCCCAAGAAGGGCAGGGTGCTACTTGAGACATGGGACCCAATGCAATTCCATGTGCCGGAACCACGACCACCGTTACATTCTAACTGCAGTGGGACAGAAGAGTCTGGAAGCCAGGGGCACTCTTCACACCTGCCCAGCTGGAGCGGGCACTGCCAGCCAGCCCCGGGCCCCACAGCCACAGCAGACGACCACAGATGCTGGATGACCACCGATTGATCCCCAGCTGGCCACTGAGGGTGGGCCAGACACACTCTGCCCTCGCTGGCTCAGACCCCGGGAACCAGCTCTGGGAGGCCACGAGGACGTGGCGGGCCACGGGCTCCCGGCTGCCGTCGCCTGGGTCCCCCCAGCTCACCACTAGGTCCCCGTGAGTCAGTTTCCTCACCTGTAAAACGGGAGCCGCAACCTCACAGAAGACACGGAAAGGAAATGTACAAAAACTTTTGGGAAAAAGAGTCAGCTTCTCATAATTTGCAAACGAGCAGCCGGCCGGCCAGACCCACCCACAGACGTATTTTGTTTGGCACAAGAGTTTTTCTAAAAAATTGAATTTGTTGCCAGCATTAAAAATTTGAGAGATTCCCAGGAAAACTTCATTTTTTCTGTTTTCTAAAATGAGGTAAATAAAATGTAAGTCTGGGCCGTGCAGGACCAGTCAGGAAACGCTGGGTGCCCGCGTCCCCCTTAGACAGCGTGACCCAGACATGCAGTCCCCCAGTCACCCCTGCCCCATCCTCCTCGCCCCAGCTCTGCTTTGCCTGCAGTATAGCTCCGGCTGCTTCTAGCCCTTGCCGCGGTCTCTGGAGACGAGGAGGGGACAGACCGAGCCTGGACCTGCAGGGGGGCCTCCAATCAGGAGAGCCCCAAAACCGAGGATGCTTGCTTCACCCAGCTCCATGCTCGGCAGTCCCAGCACAAGTCTGGCAAAGGAGGACACCAAAGGCACCACGGAGAAGCCCTCTGCAGTGAGGCTCAGGCGGCCAGAGCAGCGGGCAGAGGCCCACGTGGACCCTGCAGCTGGGCAAGGTCATGGGGGACACTCCCCAGAGCCCTGGTGGAGCCCCGAGATCAGGACTCCCGGCAAACGTCCAGGGAGGGTCCGCTTATGTCCACTCCACAGCCGAGGACAATGATCCACCCAGGTCCCACTGGGGGTGGGGGCTCAATGGACACTGGGCCAGCTCCTCCCACACCTCTGAGTCAGCACCTCAGACACCTGCAAGGTCACCAGACCACAGAGGCATCCCAGGACCCTGTCAGGCCCTCCACCCCAGTGCCACCGGGAGAGTAGAGGGGGTGGCCCTGTCCCTACCTCAGACGCCAACTCCCCTGCATGTTCCCTGCCCCACACCCAGCAGCCCACTCCCTCTGCCACCAGGGCCGGAGCCCGAGCTAATGTATTTCTGTCATGGCTCTGACTGCGGGCGTTACTTAATCAAATTAGCAAATTACTCCAACTGCACGGTCCCGTTTATTCCTGCGGCTCCCGACTCCCGCGGCTGGGTGTGCAGGAAGCTGTCAGCTCTGCCCCTCCCTCCTCGCAGAGGAGGAAGACTGGGGCGTCTTCCCTCCCAGGGACGGGTGGCTGAGTGGCAGGGTGACCAGCAGGGATGGCAGGGCAGACTTCAGTCCGGTCTCTCCAACAAGCCGGGCCCCACACAGCCCAAGGCAGCGGCTGTGCCCATCTGCAAACCCAGAGACCACCTAGCGCTGTAACCCTGAGCTGCAGGGCGAGCCACCAGGACATCTGTCAGGATACCCACAGGCACTGGCGATTCGTCAGCTGTGTGACCGCCACAGATGCTTACGTGTCACAAGCCCACTGTCACCTCTGGGGAGGCGACACAAATCAGTAACAAAGAGACCGACAATCACTAAGGTCCATGGACCTGTGGGAGACCCTATGGCAGCACCCCAAGGTGCAACCCGAATCATCATGCTACATCGTCTCTACATGGATGGGCACCTGGATGATGCGTGGGTGGGTGGATGGGTGGATGGATAGATATGCATGGATGAACAGACAAACAGATGACTGACGGGGTGGGTGGGTGGATGGATGGATGGATGGATGGATATACAGATAGATGAACAAATGGATGGAGGATGAATGGACAGATGGATGGATGGACAAAAGGATGATGGATGGACAGATGGACAAATGGATGGATGGGCAGACAGATGGTGGATGACGGATGAAGGTCTGCAATCTTGGATACCCACATGGATTATGGGTGGGTGTGTGCATGCGCATGTGATATGCATGTCTACATGGATGGTGGATGCATGGACAGATGGACCAATCCATCCTGAGACAACTCTCACCGGCTCCTTTACATCAACTCCTGTCTCCCTGGATCCTTCCGTTTCTTCCAAAAATTTCCTCCCATTTCAGGTTCACCCCTCTGTCCATAATCCTGATTCCCTACCTGTGTCTCCTCCAGCTGAACCTTCTCTCTTGTAGGTGGGTGAGGGGAGCAGAACTCAGGCTCTGGAATGACCAGACCTTTGTGGACCTGGACAAAGCCTCCCCGCTGTGTTCCAGAGCTGCGACCTCTGCATTTGCCTAAGGCCACGCTGATCTCCCAACACCCTGACGCTGTCAGCACACCAATGGCCAAGCGGCCCCGGGACCGCCCGTGACAGACATTCTTGCTTAGTGTCATCCTCCCTACCGTGGGGCAAAGGTGCCTGCACTGCTGACACACAGCGGAAATTAATGTAGCTCCCTCTGTCCTTGGCTGCCGCGTCCCCTCTGCCACAGCAGGTAGGAGGGCTGGCACCTGAGGGCACCTCCTAGGGCAGCTGCCCAGAGGAGATGAGAGGCGCCCAAGCCCCAGGACAGGGAGTGTCCACCGTCTCAGTGTCCCAGCACCTCACGGGCACATCGAGGCCTCTATCCACCGAGGCTGGCCAGCTCGGAAGCCGCAGAGGCAGCCAGAAGGCTAGACCTGGTGGGCAGACAAGTGGCTCCAAATGCCCTTCTTTCCCCCTGCCTTCACCAACCCAAAGGAAGCTCAGTCCCCAGCCAGCCTGGCCCAAATGCCCACCCTGCTGGGCACTCACTGTCTCTCTGCTGCAAGGGCCCCAGCCCTCACCAGCTCCCCACAAGGACTCAGTGGACGCAGGATGCAGTGGAGAGAGCCTCCGATCCATGCACCTCTTTGCGCACAGGAGGAACCTGAAGGTCACAGGGGCCTAGAAGGTTGCCAAGGCACACAGTGCAACTCAAACCCTGGCCACTGTCTTGGCGTCAGCCTCTGGCTGAACAGACCCAATGGACGGAGGGTTTGGGGGGCCCAGAAGGACATGAGGACATTCAGGAAGAAATGGCAGTGACTGGAGGGACATGTTGACCCTGAAATGGGAGATGTGGTCACTCGGCCTTTGCCGGTGGCCTCCCAGCCTTCAACCTTGACCTCCCAGCACTGGGTCCTTGATCTCAAAACCACCCCACGGCCCCTCACTTTTTGGAACTGGTGGACATGGCCAGGTACCTGTATTCTGCATGATAATGCTCAGGTCGTGTCTGAAAGATAGATTATTTCCTCCTTTTTGGCTGGATTATTTGAGACCTGGCGTTCCGTAGCTACGGATTCCCCGATAATGAAGAGACTTTGAACCGTTAATGAGCAGAGCCTAGAGGAGGTCAGCCCTGCCG